CTGGCAGGGGGCAGGGGCGGCACCCTCGGCCTGGAGAAGGGAGAGGACCGCCCCCCGCCTCAGCCCCGTCCACTCCCAGCCCCTCTGCCCATCGCTCTTGCTGACCCACCTGAGCAGACCACGGAGGCCGAGTTTCCCGGGGCACAGGCGGGGGCGCCCAGGGTGCTCACTGGGCAATTCCACAAATAGGGCTCTGTCCCCACGCAGTGAAACCTGTCGGGCCAGAGGGGAGCGCTTCCGTGCCCAAAGTGACCTCCTCGGGGCGCGGCCAGGGCACTGCCACAGTTGAGCTGGTGGCAGAGGACGGTGGCGTCTGCCAGGTCCCAGTGGGCGGCACAGAGGGGTGCCCAGGCCCCCTGAACCTGGAGCTCCACGCGCCCCTCACAGCTGCTGCTGCCGTTGACCAGCCGGAACTCTGTGGGGACTGGGTGTCAGGCTCCCCTTTGACCCGGAGACCCAGCAAAGGGCAATTTCTTTCTTTGCACCCCGTGTGGTGGCCACCGAGCTGTCACCTGGCTCTGACCAGCTCCCCCTGTTCCCCAGGCTCAGCACTGGCTCACACATCTGTGCAGAGAAGCCCACAGTTCGTGGCCTGCCCTGGGGGGGCCTGGGTAGAACATTCCTCTAGGACAAGGCTCCAGCCCCCCTCTCCTCCCCTCCCCTCAACCCACAGCAGCCACTTCCTCTAACGGGAACAGGACACCCCCCTGGCTGGAGGCACCTTTGTGCGCTGGGGTGGAGCACCCAGGAGGAATCCCAGAGGAAGGCTGGCCGGAGAGTAGGCAGGGGAGCCTCAGAGCCCACCCTCCCGGCCTCACCTGAGCACCTGAGCCCAGCGTCCTGGCCGTGCCCACACTGGTGCCCAGGTGCCCGAGGGCAGTGGAACAGCAGGGACTCGTTGCCTGCACAGCGGAAGGCCTCCGTCCACACGGACCCAGAGCCCTGGCCGAAGTGTGCGCCCGGGAGTGTGGACGCGGCCATGCCACACTGCAGCTCCCGACACACCACGTGGGCTGTGGCCTGGTCCAGGTCCTCGTCGCAGACAGTGCCCCAGGTCAGGCCACGCCTCACCTCCAGGCGCCCAGCACAAGGGTGCTCGCCGCCCACCAGCCGGGCCTCAATGTGTCCTGGGGGAGGAGACAAATTCTCAGTCAGGAGCAGGTGTTCTCAGGTAAACAGCTCACCTGGAGCCATCTCCCTGGACCACAGGGCGCTCTGGCCAGAGGAGGTCCTCTGTATCCAGGCAGTGCGTCCGCCAAGCACCGGACAGACTGACAGCCAGAGGCCGGTGCGCCCTGCACGCAGAACAAAGCAGGGTCCCTGGGTGCTTCCCCCAGGACAGAGGTTAGAGCCACCTGCTGCAGGCGCCCATGCATGTCACAGCCTGCGCCTGCCCAGGTGGTGGCTTCAAGGCCCTGTTCAATCTTGGAGGCAACTTCAAGGCCCTCAGGCACAGGGCACTGCCTCAGCCTGCCCCAACTCTGGGGTGGATGTGGGCAATGCCCTCTCACCTCTGACTCAGCGCTTTCCTCTTCTCCCCCCGCCCCCCCCCCATTTGTTCCACTTCCTCTGAGCAGCGAGCAGCAAGCAGCACAGGTGTCCTCCACGGGAAGGGGGCGGGCGTGGCGGTGGCCTCACCTGAACAGACCACCTCTGCGTCTTGCTGGAAGTCGCAGCCGCTGCGGAGGTTGTTGTTGAGTCTGCAGTTTCGGATGGTGGGCTCCGTGCCCTGGCAAGTCATGTACTTCCCGCCAGTGCCTGCGTCCTGGCGGGAAGCCTGCAGCGCGGGGCCGCACCCCAGCTCCTGGCAGAACACTGTGGCCTCCGTCTTGTGCAGGCCACAGAGGCGGTCAATGCCGTTCAGGTTCCTGATCTCGGGGAGCCCGGAGCAGGGGCTTCGGCCCTTCACCAGCCGGATCTCCCGGAAAGTACCGTCTGGAAAGCAGGAGCCACACTCAGAAGGGGCAGCCGCTGCTGTCCCCGCCTCACGGGGGGCCTGCGGCCGCCTCCACAGACATTTCCGCTCGGGCAGGGCAGCTCCTAGGCCAGTGATGGTGAACCTTTTGAGCTCGGCATGTCAGCATTTTGAAAAACCCTAACTTAATTCTGGTGCCGTGTCACATATAGAAATGTTTTGATCTTTGCAACCATAGTAAAACAAAGACTTATATTTTTGATATTTATTTTATATATTTAAATGCCATTTAACAAAGAAAAATCAACCAAAAAAATGAGTTTGCGTGTCACCTCTGACACGCGTGTCATAGGTTCGCCATCACTGTCCTAGGCTCTCCACCCGCCCGGGGTCCCAGCCCCAGAGGCGGGCCCTGCTCCTTCCTCCGGTGTCAGTGCTGGGCTGAGGGGGCCCCTCTGACCAGGCAGTCACACAGGGCCCCTCGATCAGAAGGACCCCTCAGAGGGGCCGCGCCTGGTGTGATGCGCTGCTGTCATGCTCCTGACAACCTACTCGTTTTTGAAAAGGGCGCCTGCACCCCACAACCCGAGCAGTGGGGCTGCGTCAGAGGCGGGACACTAAGTGCCCACAGACAGACACCCCTGCCTTTGGGTGAGAAATCCTGATTAGATACCCACGTGGGCCCCTCAGGCCTCCTCAAGTGTCTAGAAGACCGGGCAGTCCCCCCCAGCCCCCCACCCTCTGTCTGACTCCCGCTCCTCATTCCAGCTGCTGCTTTACTGGGTCCTTGGTTTTCTCTGTCTCTCCCCAGGGAGCCCAGGCTCTGCCCCGCAGCAAGGTACCCATTCCAGCTGCTGCTTTACTGGGTCGTTGGTTTTCTCTGTCTCTCCCCGGGGAGCCCAGGCTCTGCCCCGCAGGAAGGTGCGGGTTATCCCCAGCTGCATGCCCAGCACCTAGAACAGGGCCTTGCAAGGACATGGAATGGAGATGAGACTGGGCCTGGCTAGAGGGGCCAGGCGGGCTCCTGTGCCCAAAAGGAGTCCACCCAGAGAGCCACAGACCTGCCTGCCTCCCCTCCCACACCCCGTCCCCTGATTCCTCCCCTCCCGCCCGCTCTCCTCACCCACGGTCCCAGCACTGACTTACTGAAGCACAGCGCCACCACCATCCACTCGTGGGGGCACTGGGTCTGCGTCCACGCCCCGAGGCTGCACTCCCACAGGGAGGACTCGTCCCCCCTGCAGGACACGTTGTGGAGCACAGGCTGCTTCCTCTCTTGGGGCAGCGGGACATACTTGGGAGCCCCCACAGCCTGGCCGCAGCCCAGCTGCCTGCAGACCACCGATGCCTCCGCCAGCGTCCAGTCCTGGTTGCACACGTGTCCCCACACACCCTCATGTTGGACCAGCACCAGTCCGTCACACTCACTGTATCTGTTCGCCAGTTTCAGGTTGCCCGGTCCGCCTGCGGAGGGACAGTCCAGCCTCAGCGGGGCCAGACCACCGGGTGCCAGGGGAGGGGCGGTTGAGGGTGAGCCCAGTGCTGATGGCCTCGGCATTTGCCTGGGGCCAACCCCAAGGCCTTGCTGTCGGTAGAGCCAGATTAGAAAAGTGACCCGGAAGCTTGCCCCCAGCCACACCCTTCCTAGGCCTCCGCACCCTGGTCTTTTCCTCAGCCCCTGGCAACCCCCACCTCATCACAGCCCCGGACCCTCCACCCTCAGCCCCAGTCCTGGGCTGGTGCAGGGAAATAAAACAGCGGCCCCAGGACATCCGAGAGGGGGGCCACCTCGTCCCAGCCTGGGTCACCCCAGACCACCACCAGGGCTGCCCGGGACTCACGTGGGGAAGGAGGCGGAAGGGCAGACCCGCCAGGGCCCGGAGGAAGCAGGCCCTCCCACCTCCTGCTGGGGCCTTCAGCCATCACGGCCTCCCAGCCCGTGAACTGCACCAGTGCCTGCGTCCCTAACACACAACAGGGCCCCTGGTGCCATTCCCCCGCCCCTACCTCACTGCCACCAGATTCCCGCCCCACCACCTGGGTGCCCCCTCTGTCCAGCTGTGTAGTCATCTCCTCGCTGGACCCCAGGTCAGCCTGGGCAGTGACGTTTTCTTCCGTCAGCTTTCAGGGTACCGAATGCTGCTACCCTCTCCTGCCTCCCTGCCCTGACACACACTCACACTCGTACACTCACACGAATGCACTCACATGAATGCACACTCACATGCATATGCACACACGCTCACCTTCTTCTCTCACACGCATACATGCACACGCACCCATGCTACTGTAGGCAGGTCCCGCAGGGGCTCGGCCTCACCTCCGTCCTCTCCATGCTGTTCCCTCAGGACTGCATGCAGGCCCCTCTCTGCAGCTTCCTGCCCAGGACTCTGCCTCTCGGCCTCTGGACCAGCGGCTCCCACACCCCTGTGCCCCCAGCCTGGTGTGGCGTCTCCCTGGGGCTATAGCTGTCCTCCATGTCCCAGCACCATGCCCGATGCTCAGCCTCACCGCCAGGGGTAGCAACGTCCCCCACCCCCGCCTCCCAGCCCTGCTCCAGGGCACAGGGGGTGGAACAGCCCCCTGTTGGACCCATCGCACCTCCTGTCAGTCTAGGTCAGTGGTCGGCAAACTCATTAGTCAGCAGAGCCAAATATCAACAGTACAACGATTGAAATTTCTTTTGAGAGCCAAATTTTTTAAACGTAAACTATATAGGTAGGTACATTGTTATTAACTTATTAGGGTACTCCTAAGGCTTAGGAAGAGCCACACTCAAGGGGCCAAAGAGCCGCATGTGGCTCTCGAGCCGCAGTTTGCCGACCACGGGTCTAGGTCATTGAGACCAGACCCCAGCCATGTTCCCTCATTTCATCCAGGCTCTGACCCAGCCCACACCCCAGGCTCTGAGCAGTGGGGCGGGAAGCCCTGGGTTCACCTGGGATGGGACCAGCTCAGTGTTGGGACAAGAGTCTCCAGGGCTCTGAACTTTGGAGTCCACATACCCTCCTACCTCAGGATATCCCACCCCCTCCGAGCTGAGCGAGACCCAGGCAGCTGGTCAGAGCCGGGGGTCCTCACACTCAGCATCTCAGCATCTACAGAGCCGCTGCCTCCAGAAGGTTCCGTGGATGAAGGAAGAAGAAACTCACCGATGGGGACTGCCCGGAGAGTGAGGAGAAGGGGCCCGACTCCCAAGGCCCAGAGAGCTGCCCTCATGGCCCCTCCGCCCCCGGGGCGTCAGCCAGCTCTGGCCACTCGGCTGGGGCAATGGCAGGGATGGAGCCCAGAGTCAAATGTACAGGCGTGGGGGCTGCCAGTGGCCTCCTGGGACCAGTGGAGACAGCGAGAGCCTTTCCAGGGCTTATCAGTGGCTCCTGCTCTCGGTCTGTGAGCACAGCAGCCAATGGCCTCGCAGCTCTGAGCATCGCCAGGCATGCGCAGAGGGCCCAGCTGTGGGTTTCCTCTCCTGCTGGGAACTGCTGACGGGGCGGCTTCCCCCAGACCCATGATCAGGCAAGTGGTCCGGTCTGCCCGCAGCTACAGCAGCAGGAAAACCACCCCCATAGACAGTGACCGGCGACACCGGGCTCCCTGGGGACCCGCCGGGACTGAGCAGGGGCCCGCAGCACCAGGACAGCGAGACGGGCCCGGGTAGTTCTGCAGGGGCTTTGTAAACTAAACTGTCATTGGAACCAAAGTCCACAAAAGAAGGCCAAAACCTATACCCTAAGCTGAAACAGGTGACCAGCTGCTGAAACAGAACATTTAAAAAGAATCAAGAGTCTCCCCAACACCATAACCAAAACGCCCAGGATACGCGTGAAAATCCCTCACCACGCGAAGCACACAATTTGATGATGAAGGACAATCAGCTGATGGCAGTGCCAAGGTGAACTCGATGTCGGAATCACCTGACAAGGATTTCAGAACAGCATCCAACATAGCCTGACCGGGTGGCTCAGTGGTTGAGCATCTATCTACCTAGGAACCAGGAGGTCACAGTTCGATTCCTGATCAGGGCACATGCCCAGGTTGTGAGCTCAATCCCAGTGTGGGGCAAGCAGGAAGCAGCTAATCAATGAGATTCCCTCATTATTGATGTTTCTATCTCTCCCTTCCTCTCTGAAATCAATAAAAATATATTTTAAAAAATGAAGTAAAAGATTCATTTTGTGGTATATGAATCATATCGTAATAAAGCTGTTATTTTTTAAGTAATGCTAAGACAAAAATTTTATTGACTGAAATTAACATATTTACAGAAAGAGAATGTAAAAGTTATCTGTTTTGAAATTTTAAGGATACACACTTAGTACTCATTATAATTCTTTTAATCCATGATCTGAATCTGACTCCCACACTACAAAGTGAATCATTATTAATCTGCAGTACAAAGAAAAGCATACAAAGCCCTGGACTGTTATTAAATCACTACACTCAGAGAAAAAACAAAAGTGCACAGAGAAACTCACACCAATTATCTGATATATTACTACTAGCTCTATTTTTCACTTCTTTCCTGTATTATTTCCAAAACAAAATATGCCCATTATATTTAAAAGAAAAATACTGTAATGTGTTTGATTGCAGGTGGCTGCTTTCTTATTTTTATTAATGTAATTACTGAAGTTCTGTATTCTAAGGTACACTTTATACCTTGTATCCATGGACCCTCCTTGACACCTGTAGTGTCATCAAATATATAAAAAATAAACTAGTTAGATAACACAGCAAAAATAGGACAGTAAAAAATACTTTTTCTTTTTTAAGCAAAAGTGTTCTTAACAATTGCTTGCTATTGGCTCATGGAACTAGAGAATATACAGGGTGTACCCCCAAAATGTACACACACTTCAATAGCTGATAACTCAACTGATGTTTCTTTCTTTTCAGATTTAACCCACTGGAATTAAAATGGCAGTCGACATGTGCATCCATTTCTTTGTGACACCCTCTCTATTAGAAACCAGTCCTCAGAAAATGATTCCCCTTGGCTATTATTAGTCTAAGAAGTGATAAGCCACTTAATTTACAAGAAGAACACTGCTGGCTCCTTCAGAAAACACAGCCTGGCCGTCTATCTTCAAAGCAAGACAATGAGGTGGCAGGAGTGTGATGAGGAAACCGGTCTTTGAGAACATCAGGGAAGGGAGCCCAGCTGTGCTGGATGGCCTCTCGCCTGTTACAGAAATCCGAGGGCTCTTTGTGACTGGATGCCACAGGAACTCCCTCCAGACCCTCTTCATCCTCCTCGCGCACCCTGGCTGTGCCCCAGCTTGAGGAGGTTTTGGTTCTGCTGGGGCAGAGGGAGCCCTCTGAGGATCGAGCTGCCAGCCTGCAGTCCCTAGCTTGTGGGAAGCGAGACTGCTCTGCCTGAATTTTTTAACTGTTTCTCAGCCCGTGGAAGACCAAGCACTGGCAAGTGCTGAATAGACTCACTAGTAAAATGGAAATGATGAAGGACAGCATCTGTGAACTTGAAGACAAACCAATAGAATTTACTCAATGTAAACAACAGAGAGAAAATAGGAAAAAATAATAGAGCGGCAGAGACCTCTGGGACAGTAGCAAAACTTCTTATATTTCTATTACTGGAGATCTGAAAAGGAGAAGAGAGAGACTAAAAAAAAAATTTTAAATATGGCTGAAAACTTCCCAAATTTGGTGGAAGACATAAACTTACAGATTCAAGAAGCTGAGCAAACTCCAAACAGGATAAAACCCAAAGAAATTCCCATCAAAACACATCAGAACTAATCTTTTGAAAATGAAAGACAAAGAAAGGAATCCTAAAAACAGCCAGAGAAAAAGGACACGTTATCTACAAGGGAAAACCAACGTGCACGACTGCACATTTCTCATCTGCGCGGAGGCAGCAGGCGGAGGAACGACAGGTGGAAGAGCGGAAAGAAAATGCGTCAAGCCCGCACCCTGTGTCTGTGAAACCACCCTACAGACATCAGCAATGAAGGGAAACAAGGACATCCTCAAATGGAGGAAAACTAAGAGGACGTGTTGCTGGTAGGCACACCTGTAAGTAATGGTTCAACAAAGGCCTCCAAGCAGAAAGAAAATGCCAACACTGAGATGGGGCTTCCAAGAAGGGAGGCAGCGATGCAGTGGGTAAGGGCAGAGTGGACCTGCCAGCGGTTCTCAACCTGTGGGTCGAGACCCCTTTGGCGGTCGAATGACCCTTTCACAGGGGTCGCCTAAGACCATCCTGCATATCAGATATTTACATGACGATTCATCACAGTAGCAACATTACAGTTATGAAGTAGCAGCGAAAATAATTTTATGGTTGGGTCACAACATGAGGAACTGTATTGAAAGGGCCAGAAGGTTGAGAGCCACTATAGACTGTCCTTCGCTTTGTGAGTTTCTCCATCGAATGTTGTTTGAGATCTCTGTCTCTCTCTGTCTCTCTCTCTCTCTCTCTCTCTCTCCTGGCAGACTCCACCCCCCTCCCCCTCTCCTGTGCTGAGGAAGGCTGTCTGGTGGACTTTGACATTTCACCTGGGCTCACCGGGTGCCAGCGGTTCCCAGAAGGATTTAGGAATTTCCCCAAAGCTAAGCACGCCCCCTCCGCGTCATTTTCTGTCAAGTGGGTACCTCTGTGGGCAGAAAAACTTGACTGGGTTAACCCATAGGTAGTAATAGAAATGGTCATGGTAATAATTGCAATGGTGATGACAGTATTTTGTTTTTCTGTTTGTTTTTAAGAAAGGTAGAAATTTATAATGTTTGCAAGTGACAAAAACTGGCCAGACTTTGTGGGGCGATCACATTGTAAGCTATGTAAATATCGAATTGCTGTATTATACACCTGAGAGTAATATTCTACTGTGTATTATTTGGAAAAAAATGTTATGTTTGAAGCAAAAGCTATACCACTACCTGAAGTGGTGTTCAATGTACATAGAGGAAGTACTTTGGACAACTGTATTTTTAAAGTGGGAGGGTAAAGAACCTAAATGTACGTAAGGTTTCTATATTCCACTTGAACTAGTAAATTGTAAGTACTATTAGGTTGTGATAAGTTACATATGTATTTAACATCTAGGGCAATCAATAAGAAAATTGCACAAAACTCAAAAACATAAATACATCAAAATGGAACTCTCAAAATGTTCACACAACTCACAGGGAGACGGAAAAAACAACAACAGAGGCAGGAGAAGCAGTGGGAACAAATCTAAAACAAAAAATCAAAAGCTAGACTTAAGCCCCAGCATGTCAATAATACTTTAATGTAAATGGTCTAAACATATAACTCAAAAGACAGATATTGGCAAAGTGCATACAAAAAAATAATAATAAAGCCATGACCCAAATATGTGTTGTTTATAAGAAACTCTTTTCAAACACAACAGAGGTAGGTTGAAAATAAAGTAGAAAAAGATATCTCTTGTAAACATTAATTTACACGCTATATTGATATCAGAAAGAGATCTCAGATAAGAGAAAATTACTCGAGAGAAAGGGGGACATTATCTAATGGTTAAAAGACCAATCCACCCATAAAAGGTAGAACAAGCCTAAATGTGAATGCACCAAACCACAGAGCATCCAAAGACATGAAGCAATAACGGGTAGAGCTGAAGGGAAGAACAGACACGTGCACAGGCCCACTCAGGCAATCGGTAGACCTGCTGGACGGAAAGGCAGCAGGGAGCTCAGAGAACGGAACATCACTGCCATTCACAGAACACGCCAACGCAAGAGTAGACTAGACATGTGTTTCCTGCACACATGGAACATTTACCAACCGTGATTATATTCTAGAGATAAAGGAAGGGCCCTTGGAGCTTGGGAGTGAGGAAGCTAAGGATAAAGTGCCTGGTGAGTGGAGGGGGGTGGCGGTAAGGGAAAG